TTGGTGGGGAAAAGAACCCTTGTGCCTACCCGAAATCGAATCATGGGTTGTGGGGTCCCTAAACCCTCACTTTACTGAGTTCTTTTCTCTTTTATTGGTTTGACCAGGGCATTAACAGGCTTCGTTACGTAAACCATGTATCCATTGTTGCGTTAACCTACGAACAAACGATATACAGATTTGAGACAGATGACCAAAGATTGCAACAGGCGTCCGGAGGAAAGCATCACATCCGGGAAATCAGTCATTACAGTACGAACCCGTTAAATGCCGAATTAAGACCAGTCCATGTAATTTGCGGCGTCCCATCACTTCGTCCGTATCAAGGTCAGCAGTGTCCATCACGAGGAATCCAAACACAACACCTAATACGAATACCTCGGATAGCCAGCTCATTGCGCATGCGCACTTGTTTCATCTGGGGCAGGGGTAACCAAATGTCATCTTCCAGTAGCTAGACTACACAGCGTCGAATGGTAGAAAGAGAGATGGATGAATTCGAAGGGATTTTGAAGGAAGAGGCCCTGACGCAATCTAGAAACTAACCCGGCATTTGCCTGGAAGACCTGAGAAAAACAAAGCGAACCCTCAGTCAGAATAGCCGATGACCGAACTGAGATTCAAGCCAAGCACTTCCCGAATTTGAATGTTCCCATTATGCCAACCCGTTCGAAGTGGCACACTCAATTAAATGCAAATCTAGTGAACAGCATGAAATTTAAGGAAACCAAGTACAGTGAGATTTGTAAAAATGTTATACAGAATGTTCCTTTGGTCATAAAGAAACTCCGTGGTCTGTAGTCCGCAAGCGAACTATACCGACCGAGCGACCGCCGCTTATCGGCGAAGTTAGTGCCAACTTTAGGGGATGGATGGTGTCGCGTGGTCAGCGCAACGAATCCCCACAGCCGTTAATCTCGGTTTTCTCCGTTGGTCATAACGCTTTAAAACTTCGGCGTCTTTGTTAATGAACACAACTGCATGAAACTTTCACAGATTAAGCTATACAGTAGCGCGATTTGCTTGTTACACTAAGCGCAGTTGGGCGATGCACTATGCTACAAGCCGAAAGGTCGCGGGTTCGAGTCGCGATGACGAATACTTCCAGCCGCACTATGGCCCTTAGGCCGACTCAGTCTCTAACAGAAATGAGTACCAGGAATCCTCCTGGGGTAAAGGGCAGCCGGCGCGTAAAGCTGACAACCTTACCGCCATCTATGAGGCGACTGTCTATAGAAAATGTGGGAACCTCGACGTCTCACAACCCTATGGAAGTTCACGGCTTGTTACGGGAATAGATTCACCTTTTATCCTCAAAGTTCACGAGATTTCCGCACACGAAGAACAGAATTACTCGGACACCTGGTTAGAGTCTCTGTATATGTAAATGGATTGAATATCTGATAGGATGTCAGTTTACAGATCCGGAATGGTGTACGGATTTTTCTGAAACGCCCTAACCTTCAAGTACCCCCACAGAAAATAATCACAATGGTTTACGTTCGGCGAGGTTGACGGCCATGAAAATCCTTCTTTAAATGGCACAGGATACCGGCTTGACAGGATTCACTCCTCGAAAACATCACGAAGAAAGCGAAGTACGCATTAATGGTGTGAGGTCTAGCACCATGTTGTTAAAACCAGGCTGAATTCACTCTGAGTACCACACCCCGTCAGAATGGAGACAAATTCATCACTTAGCAGACTGATGCAAACTTAAGAAGTGACTCTAATGTCGCTGAACACGGGACTGAATATTAAAAAAATAATAACTCCGTGGCCTGTAGTCTGCAAGCGAAATATACCGACCGAGAGACCGCCGCTTGTCGGCAAAGTTAGTGCCAACTTTTGGGGATAGTGTGTCACGTGGTCAGCGCAACGAATCCCCAAGGCCGTTAATTTCGGTTTTCTAGACCAGAGCCGCTATTTCCTTGAAAGAGCTCCTCAGTTATCCTCACGAGGGTGAGTGGACCCCGTTCCAGACTCACTACTACTCAGAAAATCTGGTAACGCCGGGAATCGAACCCGGACCTCTGGACCTGTAGCCAGTAACTCTGACCACTAGAACACAGAGGCGGTATTATAACGCTTGATAATACACATCATACTGTAACTCTCTCTGGATGCGAAGAGCAAGCCTTGGATTCTCTGAGGCCCCATATCGGACATTTTGTTTGCTAATGTAAAAACATTCAAGTGGAATGTGCTTCACTGGAGAACCGTGCGACATTCACGACACCTCCGAACTCCCCGGCGAAAGGCCAATGCCTCGCTCTTCCATCTTCCGACGTTGGCTGACTCTGCTGCTTTCTGTACGGGAAGGACAGATTCTTCATTCAGAGCTGGTTGCCACCTCAGTCTGATGTGCACACGTTCTCTTGCTGCACCGACCTCTTTCGTACGAACAGATAAGCTATGACACAGACACACTGTTTCTTCAGAATCTTCAAACAGACCGGCAGATAGTGTCTCTCGAAGGCGCAGCGCAAACAGAAAACTCTTAGCCAAACTGTCTCTCCACAGCAACACAAGAGCTAGAAGAGTCCAAGGTTTTCATATCAAACATTTCCTGATTCGTCGCGTACAATGCCATCTTCCTAAGCAGCTCAGCGTTACTAATAGCAACAAACAAAAGTTCCAAGTGTATAAAATATGTGAAAATTTAATACAACTGCGTTCCATAAAAAGAAGTTACACAATTTTAAAGCTTCTAAATATAAAAGAACACCCTGTATTAATTTCCATATATAATTTCACGTGCATAGCACAGGCGGTTCCTTAATTCTTGTTTATTTTATTATTTGCTTTGAGTTTTTTTAAGAAGAGGTTTGCTTAAGAAACTGTATCCACCCGCCCCGAAATGTGACATTACATATCTGAAGGTCTGAAGGATATAGACGGATAGAAAGGCCCTACACGAATATAACGACATTTTTCCTCATAAACTTATAAACTGTTGCCAGAAAGTACGCTAAACTCGTCTGCTTTCTATTTTCGCCGTGTCAAAATACCTGTGAAATATAATTTTCATTTTCATGCGTGTTTATTTCGAGGCTAAGGTCAATGGAACTTGGCACAAAAGAAACCTTGAAGTACCAGAGAGAGTTACCGACGCCATCTGTTTGTTGTACGTGACAAGCACAAGGAACTGTAATCGATAAAACAGAATTCTGCAATTTCTGTTCTGAGAAAGGAATGGCATTTTGGAACTACCGACGGACAAGCGGATGGGTTGGATTAAATAAAGCATCTCGCCCTACTCTTTAACAAATAAATAACTATATATACATATTAGATCAAGGTCGGGGCTCGATTCCCGGAACGGACGAAATATTTTTCTTTTCTCTGGTGTCCAGACCAGCTCTGGGACCCACCCAGTCTCCTAGCCAATGGGTGCTGGGAGCTCTTTCCCCAGAGGTAAAACGGCTTGGGCCTGAAGCTGACCACTCACCTTCATTTTGTTTAGTCTTCTCTTCACAGCCTCCCAAACGGAACTCCACTGAAATGCCAACACTCAACTAACTGTAGATTCTAAAGGGTTCTGACAATGTTGTATAATATTCAGAATTATTAGGTTTTTAGACTTTGTCCATTGTCTGGTATTCTGGAAACTAGAAAAAAACAATGTTTCAAAAACTGGATCAGCTTCCATCCTCAGGTGGTTGTGGTGGTGGGGGGGGGGGTGAAGACAACTACTCTGTTAGCACTTTCTATGGGACCCAAGATAGTAGGCGTTTCCTCCCTCTCCTGAGGACAGAAGCAGATCCAGTTTCCGAAACGTTGTGTTTTCTATCTTGTAGAATATTGGACAATGGACAAAGTCCAAAAACCCAGTAATTCTTAGTCTCAACTAACTGGATTTTGCTAATTGTCTTCCTTATAACCACTTTGCACAGACCAAAAAGAGAACAGTTTCCAAAAATACTTTATTGTTGTACATGTGTTTACTGATCCGTTACCTAGAAACAGGTGGCATAACCATATTGTTTTATTGTTGCGAGTGTTCCCTAGCAATGGCTGATGTTTACAAAGTCACCACTTAGCAAAGGGTCTATACGCCACAGTATTTAGTGGATAGGTTTATATGAGTGCTTAGGGGGATCATGAAGATGGTCAAAATTGGTTACTGTCCGGATCCGAATGCTAGTCAATCAGAGACTGACTCTGGAGCAGAGAGAGCTGATGTACTCCAGTTAATGGAGCCAATACGTTCCTCCGAAATGTCGGCCAAAACGAAGAATACACAGCACCAAAACCCAGAAGACGACTTTCTTCATAGTCATCGCCGTGAAAACCTCAAAACTTACATGTAATAGTAATGTTTATTAAAACAATAGGTAAAATTAAATAGGCAAAGTGGCTCAAGCCCTATGTGATTATATTAGAACATTGTTCTCTTAGAGGGGTAGGTGGTAGCATAGTTGGTTGAGGCACTATGCTACAAGCTGGAAGGTCACGGGTTCAAGTCCCAATGAGGTCACTGGATTATTTTCAATTGACTTAATCCTTCCAGCCGCATTATGGCCCTGGGGCCAACTCAGCCTCTAACAGGAATGAGTACCAGGAATATTCCTGGAATATTCTTGAGGGTAAAGGGTGGCCAGCGTGCAGGGCTGACAACCTTGTCGCCATCTATGAGCCGATTGTCTAGAAAATGTGGGAACCTTATCATTTCACAACCCTATGGGCCTCCACGGCCTATTACAGGGCTGCCTTTACTTACTTATTTACTTACTTACATTGTTCTTTGGATATGCAACAAGTCTGTGTATGGAACTGAATACTGTAACAGAATATTATGAAATCCTTACCACAAGGATATCTTTCACAGTGTACTTCGTACTTACATTTGGCTATTTTTGAAGTTTTATTTACTGCGTATTTTAATAATTTTATACTGGTTTTAGATAGAGTGAAGTCTGCGTTCTCCTTGCCACTACTGACATTACATCTGTAAATATTAATGGAAGACTGAAATAGTTTTGTTTATTTGTTCCTACCTGTCCAGACAGCATACAGCAGGCCACCACCCCAAGAGACCACCAGTCCACAGCATGTCCATATGGCTCCATGCTCACCACCTCTGGTGCTAAATACAAAGAGATTATCTTTTGTTCCATCTAATCAAAAGCCTCAGAAAGAAAGTTAACTCTTTCAGAGCTTAGCTTAAATAAGTAATTTCTTTTATTGGTTTATAAATTTTCATTGCAACATACAGTCTCCATTGCTAAAAAGCCATAGTAAGGGATTATATTTTCAATTATATTATTACTGCACATATCATCAAAAAGGTTAAAATATAACATCACATTTACTTAACCACGCAGCACTGAGGGCATACTACACTCATCACAGAAAATTTTTCATCTTTTGCAGAGGGACCGTTGAAGTTGTGGCTGTTGAAGCCTCTGTGTGCTTAATGGAAATCTCCTGTGTTCACATGAACAAAACTGACATAAGAGGTAGATAAACGAGTACACAGTATGAGTCTGGTTAATTTAATTAATTTGCTTAGTGGGGGGTGGAGTCCAACTGGGTCCACTCAACACGGTGGCCACTGATTGGCCTAATGTAGCCTGCCGCGGGTGATTATGATGATGGAGAATTTGGTGGAATGAAGATTGGCAGGGGAAACCGAAGTACTCGGAGAAACCCCACCTCAGCGCCACTTTGCCCACCACAAATCCCACTTGACCAGACCCGGGATTGAAGCCAGGCCACCGCGGTGGGAAGCCAGCAACTAACCGCCTCAGTTATGTCACAGCCTTATCAGTTTGATTACTGGGTGAACAATAATTTCACAATAAATTCATGAAAATGAACCACTTCATTCAAAAGCCATTAGGATGATACATCTCATATTTGGGACTACCTGATAATCTACTCACCCATATACTGCCTAGTGCCACATATCGTTGTGGTTCGAGATCCGTACTTGAGCCACTTTGCTAATCCGAAATCTATCAGCTGAGCATGACCATCCTCATCAAGTAGGATATTCTCCAACTTAAGATCTCGATAGATAACACCAGCATTGTGTAAAAAATCTGCAAAAGAAAATTTTCATGTTAACACAAGTGAAAGCACAACTCTTTGGTACAACATTCAAAATACAGGACGTTATCTAACATATTTTATCAAAAAGGTTCATAAAGAATGATGTTCTAAACAAGCGTTTCTCAACCGTTTTGATAGTTTTGATACATCCCATCGGTGGAACCTGAGAGTTGGCTGAGTGGGACATGAGGTCTCGAAAATAAGAACTTGCATTAATGATTACAATAATCCTAAATCACATACTTAAAAAAAAAAAAACTTTGCTTTTACTATGGTGGGTCAAAATTTTTTTTTGGCAAAATGACTGGTGGAACACACAATGCCAGATGTCAAGGATCACATATTTCATTCAGTTTCAGTCTCACAGTATATACATAATTCCAAGATAAGTATATGGTTTCTACAATGAGACATGTTTTGGCCACTATACTCATATTTGACCATCATCAGGCAGTACTTATACAGTCCCTCTCAACTTTCTCTATTATTTCCTTTGACCTGGCCAATGTATACAACTGCGGGAAGGTTGCAGCATTGTTTACAATGCAGGGTCTTTAGTTACAGACTTAAACAAATACTGTAAATTGTATAAATATTGTCCTAATTTACTGCAGGGTATCCGTTATTTGTGATATACGAGAGGGTACCCAAAAGAAACCGAACTTATTTCTTTTTAAACTTATTTATTCAAATTTTAAGCACAAACTTTCAATCCCCTTCAAAATACTCTCCACTTACACTAACACACTTGTCTAGTCTTTTATTCCATTTTTCAAAACATTGTCTAAATTCATCTTTTGAGATGCTTGACAGTGCCTCCATCGTTTTTTCCTTCACCTCAACAACATCAGCAAAACGCTTTCCTTTCATATCTCTTTTCATTCAAGGAAACAAAAAAAAAGTTTTGATCATTTCGGGACTCTTATTTCAAAGCACAACATGCTTCCACGCGACCTTGTTTTTGTTCAGCAGTCAGCAGTCGTGGCACGAATTTCGCAGCCACCCTTTTCATTCCCAAATCTTCTGTCAAAATTCGCTGAACTGAGCTCCAAGTCACTCCCGACAGCTCCACAATTTCTTCAATGGTCCGTCGTCGATCTTCCTTGATGATTTCACGAATTTTTTCAACATTTTCATGTGTTCGGGCTGTGGAAGGACGACCAGAACGAAGTTTGTCATCAACTGACATTTCACCATTTTTGAAACGGGAAAACCACTCAAACACTTGAGTTTTCCCCACAGCATCATCCTTGTACGCCGTTTTTAACATTTCAAGAGTTTCTGTTCCACTTTTCCCAAGCAAAAAGCAGAATTTCACCGCCGCACGCTGTTCACGAAAATCAGCCATTGCAAAAACGACGATCACACAAAACAGTTGTCACTATAAACTCTGCCGAAACTAGTCCTTACCTTCTGAAGCAACGGTAGTCGGCTTATCGACTCAGGAATGTTAGCTCTATGCGCTCATAGTGGCAAAACGCGGTACTACAAAAGCTCTGCCCACAAAAAAATTAGTTCGGTTTCTTTTGGGTACCCCATCATAAGTGTATTTCAATTTTGCATCAGCCTTAAAATTGTTTTTATATAGCTACTTTGGTTTCAATTAAATTAAAACAGGATAATTGTAACTAGTTAAAATTAGACCAATACTGGCCAATTATTATTCTTTTATACCAAATTTTGTTATTTTTATTTTTGTTTCATTTTATTTAGATGTGTAGTCCTGAGTCCTGTGTAATGATCATTTCCTTGATGAGCATGGTAGCACATGGTTCTCTTAGGGCACATGTATTCTCATGTTGCGCATATGTGTATTTTCACTTTTCACATGGTAGTCTTGTTTGTATCTTGATGTTATGTTCATGGCGTGTGCTTGTGTACAATATTACTGTCAAGAATCTCAGTTTTCAGGAGCTGCCTGTTTTATCTTGGCCAGTTTACTGGCTATCATTTCTGTCAATTTCTTTACACAGCTATTAGCATAACAACTCCATGACTGCTCCTTCTAAATCCTTACCTATCATTCAGGGCCATCTCCCAATTCAGAGTAATTAAGAAACTTAAGAATAAATCTTCTATTTCACTGTGAACCCATTAATGAGCAAGCACAAAGGAGCATTCACTTAGTCAAAGTATGAGAACAAATCTATCTTATCTGCTCTAATAAAAACCAAAAAAGCTTACCAATAGCAAGAGAAATCTCTGCAACATAGATCCGTACCAATTCCTCTGGTAAAAGACCATAACTCTGGCAAAGCTCAAGTAATTCCCCACCAGTCATGAAATCACTCACTACAACAAGATGGTGATGGCAGTAAGATACATAATGGTTCAGTTAAATCCTTGATCAAAGTGTCCCTTAAAATTAGTTAATGTAACTGAAGCTTACATATGGTAATATCTGAACACTATACATGAAGTCTTATCAAAATCTGTCCTAAGGCTCAGAAGACTAATTGAAACATCATTTACACACTTGTAAAGTAGTTCTTGAAATGATACAAACTAAAACAAAACCAAAATGACTCAAACAATTTAGTGTAGATAACTTATATTAAGCATGACTGAAACTGGTTAAGTAGTTGGGTCCTGTTACATGAGGATGGTCAGAGAGACAGATATAAAACTAATATGTAGATTTCAAAAACCTTTTCCAAAATTAAAATATGCTGGCGTAAGCCCAAGATAACTGACTACTGACAGTGACCCTCCTAACTGTTAGCATTTACCATCTGTTTTCTTCATGTACATGTTTTTATAATTCTCTGACTTCTCAAGTGACCAAAACCTTCAGAATGTTGTGACATTTCAAAAACATGCCGTGTTCCTTATACCTATGAATAACTGCTTCCTACTCTGCCAGAAGAATGGACAGTTCACTATGAACGGATTGTGCCCACACATGGACTGGATTCCCACTTCATCTTTCACCTGCTGCACTGCGTTTTCTGAAATTATCTGCAAAGCCAAACATGTTCCTACATGTTAGCTAAAATTCTATATGCAGTAAATAATGTAATATTTTATATCTGCATGTACAAATACATAATTCTGATCCTTAGGTTTTCATGGCTTGAACAGTGAGGCTTCAGCTTACGAGACTAAGCAACACTGAATGTGTTAGAGCTGCCAACAGCCCCCTAAATCATTAAACCTGAAGAAGGCAACTACAAAGTTTGCTGAAACACTGGACAGCTTTCAGCATTTGATGTGAACTATTCCTGAATGCTGAGGCAAGACATACAAGTATGCAGTGCTTCTTAAAAACTAAGGAAATACTTCCTTTTTTTTTCATTTCATGCATCCTGTTGTGTTATAATATACAACTTCTCTATTAAAACCGTCACAACACAACTATATCGAGGTCAGTGTCTTGTTTTGGCTCTGCTACATGTTTCGGCTATTAACAGCCATCATCAGGAAAATACATGGCTAATATATATACACCACTGAACTGCAGTACTAGTAAAATTGGATACAATAATATTAATTATATAAAATACTTGATGTAAAAATACAAAAAACTGGATTATATAAAACAAAAGTTATAGTATAAAACAAGAATAAAATTCTTCGATTGATGCTTTACATCGTCGAGTCAGTCGGTTTTTGTAATTTTGTTGCGTTCCCATGGACAAATTGGAGTATTCTATATTTTGTGTGTATATAAAAACTGTTATTGGAGGCTCGTGACATAGATGTAGTAATATTAATGTTAATTATTTAGTCGGCGCCTCATCTTGCAAAGTATTGTCCGTTCTATAGGGAATGTAAACAACAACTTGTTAATTAACTGTTATTAGATCTGCACTAGGGCTACTCAGAAAGTAACCTCTGCTTATTTCAGGTAACTAATGTAAGAGCAGAGAGACAGCTCATGCACGCGAGTTAGTGTCAGACGCTTCATTGCCTTGTAAACTATCACACCATCATCACTTGTCTCTACAAGTGAGTTATGATGTCTCCTGTAACTGATAATCCCACTACGAAGCCTCGCTCCATCCAGTGAAAGTTGGTGCCTGGCCTGCTGGACATTCTTTTTTAATCAAACAATTAGTTCTGAAAGATATGTACAGGTCTACAAGTTAATTACTTCCCTTCATTCCAAATGTTATCAGATGATTCATCGGCAAATTCCTATGCGTCTTCTGGCAGACGGTGCACGGGCCACCGTGAAAAGCAGAGCTATAAACTCATCAACCAAGTAAAAATCTTCCCTGTATTATTTAGTAATAATGTATTATATTTATTGTTTATCTATACACACCTGACAATAGCAAAATATACTGGAACAAATAGTGTGATTGGTATAATAAACTGATTAATGTCTATTTGATTTTGTTCACTTTATTAAACACTAATCAAACTCATATTTGTTGTGTAATGGTATAAGACCCTAGAATTTCCTGAGGTTGTCTCAATGATCGGTTACACAGAGATACATAAATATGCAAAAGTAAGAACTTCCTTTCATTTAAAACATTATTGGCTGTCAGACATGCTGATTCATTGGCAAAATTCATATGCGCCTTGCATCAAGTGGCGCACCAGCCGCTGTGAAGTGCACAACCGTGGAACTGGTAAACAAAGTAAAAATCCTCCATGTTCAAACAAAGTTTCATGAAGATTGGTCCAGACATTCAAGCAATACCAAGGTTATATCACAGAAATTTGAGAGGCTGCAATGTTCATATTACTGACGGGAGGGATTTATGATTTACGCTGATGAGATGCCTTCATATGGCATGATATTCTTACCAAGTTTCTTAAAGATTGGTACAGATGTTGGAGGAATATTAAGATTTTGCATCAGCAATTTCAAAGTCTGTAATGCTGGTATTACTGAAGGACAGGATTTTTTAAGTGCACCATTGAAATGAGCTGAGGTGGCATGATGTACATACAAACCTTGATGAAGAATGGTAAATGGATATTAAGGTCTGGCATCAGCAATCTGAAAGGTTGTAATGATGGTATTACTGAAGGATGGGATTTATGAAATGAATAGGCTCAGGTGGCATGATACACATACCAAGTTCCATAATGATCGATTCAGGCATTTAAGTAGCATTACAGTTATTACCACAACAATTTTAGAGGCTGTAATGTTGGTAGTTCTGATCTAGGGGACTTGCAGAGTATGCCATTCAGCTGGCTCTATGTGGCATGATACATATACCAAGTTTCATGGGCATTGGTATAGGCGTTTGTGCAATATGAAGGGTTTACCTCAGAAATTAAAGAGGCTGTAACATTGGTATTACTGATGGTGATATTTATGAATTATTCTCTTGAGATGGAGGTCGGGCACCATGACATACGTACCAAATTTCATAATTGGTTCAGGCATTCAAAAGTCGTGACATAGGAGACACACACACACACACACACACACACACACACTAAGAAATGTGATTTCATAAGCCTACCTTTAGTTTTTCAAAATAAAGAAAGTAGGTTAAAACCAATTAATTAATGTTAGTCAGTACAGGTAATATTAACTCAGAACATAATGGAAAACAAGATATGAGCAGGAATATTTCAGGGAATGGTTGAGGTCAGGACAAATGATAGTAAATTGAAAATAAATGACACTGTACACCAGCTTCTTCCTATGGAAAAAGATAAAAAATAGAACTTACTGTAAGGAAATAAATGTCAGGCATTTCATACAATAAACAGCATTTAGTAATGCCTAAAGTAAAGAGACAGTAAATTCACTGTACCTGAGACTTGGAAAGAACTTTTAATGCATAGATCTCGTTTGTATCCTCTTTTATAACCTTGTATACTTTTCCAAATGCTCCCCTTGATACTGTGCTTACCACCTGCAAAAAATATGAAATGATCAGATTACTGACAAAGCTAACAGAGTAAACAGAAATATAGAGATAGTCAGCCAGCTGCTCACTGCGACACGTATGCCAAATACATAGAATGAAATATATTTGGTTTGGGTGTTTCTTAATCTATATAAACACTCTTATCAAGTACTGTTAATGTTATATTTTAGCGTCCTGTTCCACTGATTTATGTCCATGACTTATTCTGACCGTCTTACAGTGCATACATTTATTCACCTTACTCTTCTCTCTTGCACTACATGTTTCGGCACTAAAGTGCCATCTTCAGGTGCTTTTCGATGTACGTCGAACTACAGCATTGCATGCCCTGTTGTCTTTATAGTAAAATAACTAAAATATATATTCGTCATATATATTGCTAAATTTTAAATATTAAAAATGTTAAAACTGTTCAGGATTTGTCATCCTTATGTCGTATTTCAGTACGCAAGTCACACCTATCTTCTTCTGTCGGAGTATTCTTCCTACTTTCATGTGTATTTGTAACGTGAAATTGTATTCATTAATACCACGTTCTGAATTTTATTTGTTACGCGTGGTATTATAATGTTTAATACTCACTGTGCTTTGTGTTGTGTCTTACTCCTGTGACAGCGTGTGTTATACTGCTGGGCCTGCTGGGTATGTGTGTGTGTGCTGTCTTGGTTTTGATTGAGATATGATGTTGTGGGTAACATGAAATTGTATTCATTAATACCGCGTTCTGAATTTTATTTGTTACGCGTGGTATTATAATGTTTAATACTCACTGTGCTTTGTTTTGTGTCTTACTCCTGTGACTGCGTGTGTTATACTGCTGGGCCTGCTGGGTATGTGTGTGTGTGCTGTCTTCGATTTGATTGAGTTATGATGTTGTGGGGGTAGATGTGATGGGGGTAGGTGGTGGGGTGTTGTTATGTTGTTCTGTGTAGATAGTGTGTAATTCGTGGTATATTGGGTTATATATTTCTTTATTTATATTGTTCATATTTGTGTTTTTCTTTGTCGTTCTGTATATATGATAGTTCTCCAATGTGTTCAAGCATTGCCCCTTCCTACCTGTTGCTATGATATCCATAGTGTTTTCTATTGTACCATATGCATGTCCTGTGTTTAATATGTGTCCTGAGTAGCCTGTACTGCTGTTATTATGTCTTATGTCATGTATGTGTTCTTTATATCTGGTATTAAATTTCCTCCCGGTTTGTCCTATATATTCCTTGGGGCAATCTTGGCATTTCATACTATATATGCCGCTGTTGTTATATTTATTTATTCGTGGTCTTGATTTTAATGTATGTTGTAAATTGTTCTTAGTTCTAAATGCTATTTTTAATTTTGTGTCTCAAAATAATTTTGTGATATTTCTTGTTTCTTTTCCTATATATGTGAATGTTGCCCATTTCGTTTTTGTTTCTTGTTCTTCTGAATTCTCTGTAATGTTCTGCTTTTTTGCAATGTTTTGTTTTCTGTTATTTGTAGTTAGTTTTGTAATTATATATGTGTTGTACTTGTTATTTATGAGTATGTTGTTTATAGTTTCGATCTCATTATCTTTTGCTACTCTGGTGATGGGGTAGTTATTTACTCGATCTATGAGCACACATACCCAGCAGGCTCAGCAGTATAACACACGCAGTCACAGGAGTAAGACACAACACAAAGCACAGTGAGTATTAAACATTATAATACCACACGTAACAAATAAAATTCAGAATTCGGTATTAATGAATACAATTTCACGTTACAGATACACATGAAAGTAGGAAGAATACTCCGACAGAAGAAGATAGGTGTGACTTGCGTACTGAAATACGACATAAGGATGACAAATCCTGAACAGTTTTAACATTTTTAATATTTAAAATTTAGCAATATATATGACGAATATATATTTTAGTTATTTTAGTATAAAGACAACAGGGCATGCAATGCAGTAGTTCGATATACATCGAAAAGCACCTGAAGATGGCACTTTAGTGCCGAAACATGTAGTGCAAGAGAGAAGAGTAAGATGAATAAATGTATGCACTGTAAGACGGTCAGAATAAGTCATCAAGTACTTTGTTTATATAGAGGTGAATTACAGGTTTAATATGAATGAATACGTGTGAACAGTAGGGAACAAAGATACAATACACATATTTGAGGCACTACCCTACAAGTTGTCTGGATAGACTGAGGAAAATCGTAAAGAATTTTGGTAAGGCTCTGGACACAGATGCAAACCAAGGACCTCCTTAATACAAAGCAGCAGTGATCCTACCGCAATGTTCAGTAAAGACAAATAATATGACATACAGAAATTATGATAGTGAAGGTAGCACCACAATAAGGGAAGCAAAATGGATTTTAAAGCTGCCCCTGTAACAGGCCGTGGAGGCCCATTGGGTTCTGAGATGTCGAGGCTCCCATATTTTCTAGGCAATCGGCTCACAGATGGCGGTAAGGTTGTCAGCCTTACGCACTGGCTACTCTTTACCCCCCAGGAAAATTCCTGGTAATCATTTCTGTTACAGGCTGAGTCGACCCCTGGGACACGGTGTGGCTGGAAGGAAAAAAGCCAGCTGTTGCTATGCAATGGCATGGTAAACGCTTTTCTGTGGCAACAAATAAACATGCAACAATAGAAGAATTGTTGGAAGTGCTGAGGCTTATAGCAAGGACCAATAAAAAAAGCTATGGAGTTTGGAGTCGCACCGTTAGATGTCACTACCAAGCAACGTCTAGTAAAGATACGGCAGACTAAGAAGGGCTAGTGTTTGCAGTAGTAATTTTTAGAGTGTTTAGATTAGTGAAAGTGTTATAATTATTTGTAGTTATGAGTTATGAACATCCAGTAAACCCAAATATCAATCCAAACCCTGTGTCTGGTCACTGACATGTGGCAATATCATAGATCCAATATTTATATTTGAGAATTCTCCAAAACAAAGACAAGACAATCCAGAACAACATAAAACACGTGGAATTACTAAAGCAAAATATCCACAAATGAACGTAATTAATGTCCAATAAAATTAATACAAAGCAGTAAATTTCAGGCATGTGAAACTTGTGGCAAACATTACATACCTGAAAGTCTTTTTCTGTTATGTTGCCTTTAATTTTAAATTCAGGCAGAAAGATGGCTTCGACATAAGGCACTGGCCAGGCTGTTTTAGCAGCTACCAGAGGGTCATTCAGAGTTGTTTGATGCCACCTATAAAAATGGGTACTCTCTATACTTCATTTCCTATAATTTTCTATAATTTTTTATTGATCGTAATATCTACATGACATTTCTGCTGAATTATGCTGCTCAGAGTGCTGAAAATTTTTAATCCCCTTCAAGGAAGCAGTTAATCAGATGAATTTTCTTTCCAGACATCTCCTGAAACATGAGATTTGAGACTTTCATGGCAGTAATGTTAAGATCCTGGCCTTCTGGGTTGTGGAACCATGTAGTCTGGTAGATACATGCCAACATTTTGGTGTAAGCTCCTGCCTCCATTTTCTGGGCAGAAGAAAGCCAAGCAGAGGAAAAGGTCCATGATACGGGGACAGGGAACAAGGGTGGGGCTGTCAGTGAACCAATGGCTGCCATTGGTCCTACAGAGAGATAAAAATAACAAGGAAGGAAGGGTGTATCCAACTGTTCAAAACAAATAAAGTAAATTTATAAATAAATCAGCAATTAAGGAAGAAATGTAAGAGGAAGGAAGTGGGGAATAACAGGGTGGGTAGGTGGAAGGGAAAGAAGAGAAAAAAGGATGCCATTAAAAGGACAGTAGGAACTGATTTTCCTACCCGGTGGAGGTTTGGGGGGGGGGATAATGTGAAGTTCGATCCTCCTAGACCAGCAATCTGACACTGTTGTGGCAGGCTCACAGTAAAGACTTAACTCCCTCTAGGAACTGCGTCTCCTGTTTCTAAATGCCAATTCCCACTGGTCTATATGTACTTTCAGTTCTACTGACCAGAAAGTCTGAGGAGTTCTGTCTTCTTGGATATAACACACTGCAATCCACTGGAACTCAACCAACGTTTTGGAAGAACATTTTGCCTCCAAAATGTTAGTTGTCTTTCAACAGACTACGCTGCATTATAAACCAGAAGATATAATTCTTCATAACCACTGCTGTGAGGACCAAAAATCCTACAGAAAGTCTGAGGTTTTATTACTGCCTCAGAGCCCAGCAGCTCCACTGCCAGTCAAGTCAAACAATTGTGGCTTTAAGTAATCATAATCATGCTGTTTCTAACAGATATGAAGTTCCATTACTCCTTCTTTCACCTTGTACATTACATATTTTATCTAGATAAAATTGAGTAAAGTTGACCTGTACTAAAAGTTGCTATAAACATTAGATTTTGGAATATTATATTTAAGCATCCTGTTGCACTCTATACGATATATGACATAAACACCGTCCCAAGTGCAACAATTTATTATTGTTCGTTTGTCTTGCCCTCTTCTACACTACATGTTTCGGCCACAAACAGCCATCGTCAGGTGTATACACTTACGTACACATAGCTGTTACACTGCACTTAGTTTAAAATTCAAAACCAAGAGTCTTCCAAATTGTTCTTTTCGTCATTACTAACAGGTTTCGATTTTTTAGAATCTACTTCACTGATATCTGTCTGATTTGTGCATTATCTTTGTTACCTACACTCGTCAATTTTGATTATTATGAACTGGCACTTTTAAAATCTTCAGTTCTAATTTAAAAATTCTTTTAAAAATTAAAATTCTCAGGGTTACTCGCCCTATGTCTGTAATGCTGCAGCGGCTACTTCTGGTTTTCAGCACTGTTATTCTGTGTAGGCTCCTTGCGTGTGTGCCGTAGTAAAGATAAGCAGTGGCACGCACACAGGGAGCCTACACAGAATAACAGTGCTGAAAAGAAGAAGTAGCCGCTGCAGCACTACAGACATAGGGCAAGTAACCCTGAGAATTTTAATTTTTAAAAGAATTTTTAAATTAGAACTGAAGATTTTAAAAGTGCCAGTTCATAATAATCAAAATTGACGAGTGTAGGTAACAAAGATAATGCACAAATCAGACAGATATCAGCGAAGTAGATTGTAATAAATCGAAACCTGTTAGTAATGACGAAAAGAACAATTTGGAAGACTCGTGGTCTTGAATTTTAAACTAAGAGCAGTGTAACAGCTGCGTAAGTGTATACACCTGACGATGGCCGTTTGCGGCCGAAACATGTAGTGTAGAAGAGGGCATGACAAAAGAACTACAATAAATTGTTGCACTTGGGACGGTGTTTATGTCATATATCAGATTTTGGTCTTCATCTGTCTATCATTCTGAGCCAAGAGAGGTCAGCCTATGTGGGCTGAAGAAGCTACATTTAAAATCCCAGCACAGACAATCATTCATCTCTCTGTCACCAAATTCATTGTGGCTCTTGGACCTACCCAGGTCTTATCCAATGGACAACAGAAATTTGCTGTTCTTCCGCGTCCTGTGATGTTGCTGGATCTGTTACGGTCCTTGTCGTGATGGCTACTGACATCAGAGGATGCGGAAGAACAGCGAGACCTCCAAAAAGTGAAAAAGTGCAATCAATATAATAAAATTGAACTTTAATTCATGAACTTTTAACCAATAATATAATTAAACTAGTTAAAGTGAACTTGACGCAGTGATGAGCATAAGTAGGAAGTGACTGAATAACAAGTGAAAGTGAAAGCATAACTAGTGATCTGAATTGAAATTCGATTCACAAATTTTAAATTTTAAAATTTTAACTTTTGACATTTAGAATAATATTTTAACTTGTGTTTTGTGAGAGGAACTTGATATATTATTGAGCGTGGGCCTGAATAAGATACATGATCAAATAAGTGAGAAGACGAATGTGATTGCGTGTAATTATACAGCTGTGTTCGTGCACCTGAGGATGACCTCTTGAGGTCGAAACATGTGGTGTAATAGTAGTAAAGGTATGTTGTGTGGTCGGTAAAATTGACTCTAACACTAATTAAATACATAACAGGATGCAAGAAACAATTAAGTTCTATAGGGTTTCTTACGATGGTGTACAACACTAGGAATTACTGGGATTTTGGACTTTATCTATCATCCAGTATTTTAACAACTAGAGAAAACATTTCAGAAACTGGACCTGTTTCTGTCCTCAGGTAAGGGGGAAAGGCACCTACTATGTTGGGTCCCTTAGAAAGAGCTAACCTGGACCAGTGAATGAGGTTAGCTCTTCCTAAGGGACCCAACTGAGCAGGTATCTCCCCTTCCCTCACTTGAGGATGGAAACAGATCGAGTTTCCGAAAAATTCTCTTCTCGGATTTTTAGAATACCGGATGATAAACAAAGTCCAAAAACCCAGTAATTACGAGTTTTAATTTCCTGCTAAAGTAGGCAACACACGTTTGTCCTCACCTCCGTCTTGATACCCTGGACCAAGGCCTTGAAACGCTGCACGTTGACTGATGACTAATAGCACTTGCAAATGATCTTCCACTCAGATCATTGGTAAAATTTGACAAGCTGAACTGAAATCATTTTTATATTATTAGATAAATATAATTATTTAATTTCATATCGAGGATGCAACAGCTGAATGCTGCTTGCTAGTTCGTAACCTACTTCCGTATTCTCACCTGACTAACATATGGCTGTTGTATCCCAACACTTCTTGAATATTTGGCAGTTGTTTCAGATGCATGTTTTCGGCTTGAATTTCCCATTAAATATGCACACCATATGCATGCACCAACATTAATTCCAAATTAAATGTGCCAACGCCTCTCCATGATGCACCAAATTATAATTCCCACCAACAGTTTTTTGTTTTCATCAGCTGATTCTACGGTACTTCGTATTCAGATGCAATTATACTAATGTTCAAATGACTTAAAAGTTATGTAAGTCCTAATAAAGCAGATTTATTTAAAATATAACATCGGTTGCAATAATATCCCTTCAACATTAGCTTTATATGACACTACTGATCCTACTGATGTTCCTTTGACTATTACACATCAAATCCTGTTCCTACTCCCATGCTACGTGATTCGTGCTGCAGTATCTACTAGGATCTACTAGTATCTAATTTGGGCAAAAGAAGAGAGGAAAATGGCTGGGATTGTAGGAAAGAGTGCAGGACCGAAAGTTGCTTCTGTTTTCGTTCGGGCCGTTCATGGTCCTTCAGCGGGAGAGCATTCAGGTTTATTATTTCATAATAATAATGAATATGAAAAAAACCGTATTGATTGTTGACGCTGCTGGTTAACAGTATTACAATTTTAATCTAGTACCAAGTATATTATTTGACTATATTTGTTCCCCTTACCGGCCTCTTATTGGTTATGAATTTCTGTTGCCAGCAGAGGCTGAAAGTGTTGTAAATTTTAACCAGTGATTTGACTATGGTAAAATACTATATTGCAAAACGTATCAACATTTTCAGTCCGACTGTTGTTGACATATTTTATTTTCACTTATAACTTGGGTTGAAATCTTCGTTTTTGCCAAGCTAGGCATTTCGGGGCACAGGCCGTTTTTAAACCTTTCCAGCAAGTTTAGCCAGAATATGTTTTCTTATGAAGTGAGAACGCTTACATCATTTATTCCAAAGGCGATGTAGAGTATGTATTTCCACTTTAATACTACTTTTCTTCAGACCTACATTCTAGAAATTTTCTCAGAACTGGGACAAGAATCTCATGTTTTAGAACAGCTGTGTTTTAAAATGTGTTCTTCCAGTTATCAAGTGATGGGTAGTTTATAATTTTACCCTGAATCTTTTTTCTCAGTATAAATTAATACTATATGCATGTAGTTCGTGTCTCATCACCATCACCTGAAAGGGATACTTTGACATATATGCATGAAGTGTAATTATTTCACATCATACAGCTGGCATAAGCACATTGATTTATCAAGTGATGAAGAAAGTGGGTCATTTAAAACAGTTCTGGAAAAAGTGTTGTGTGTTTATCTTACAAGATTATTTCTTGCCGATTGTCTAGGTGGGTCCAAATTGTGGAGGAATCTTTCATTTTTTGTGGCCTTGCCATCAGTGGGTCTCTGCATGGTGAATGCTTATCTGAAGCACCAAGAAGAGGCCCATCACGAACGACCAGAATTTATTCCATACGAACATCTCCGGCTGAGAAATAAGGTATCTTATGTAGAACACAAACATATGCCTCTCACGCATTTATACTGAGATATGTATTCTGCAGCCACCAGTTGTTTAGCATAGTCTTTTGTCACTCCTAAAACATGTATGTAGTCAGGTTAATTCTTGGCAGGGAATAGAGAAGAATGTTGTGGAAAGTACACGTAGTTTTAAATTATGAAAATTGTATCCAGTATGTGCCGTAAGGTTTATCCCATTGTTATTTTCTGTACACATAGAAAATATCTCCTAGGAGTATATATGATGTTAGGCTTATAAATTTAATTTCAGTTGGACAAGATGTGGGTTTATGATGCTTCTTCAGTTTAAATGATGTTCACACCATAAAATAACTGAAAATTAGTTGAACATTCATAATTACAGTTCCTTAATTTTACAGACGATCTTCCAGTTGAAACCAGCTTCGGAGGCCATGTTTTTGTTACCTACTAGATTTTTCTTATTACTTTGCAGAGATTTCCTTGGGGAGATGGCAACCATTCCCTGTTCCACAACCCACATACAAATCCTTTGCCAGATGGATATGAACACTAAGCAACAAAAAGGTTTTGTGCCAGTGCAGAAGTCAAATGATTTAGTGTTGTATGTGAAAGCCTGTACTAGCAGTTAGCTTTGACATAATAAGCTTCTGCACTTCGTTAGTATGTATTTTCACTATTCCAATGGATGTATAATGGTGCTGTAAATATGAATAAACAAAATATATATTACGCTTCTTTTCATTTCCACACGTGCACCCAGTAGTATTTCCTCCTGATGTGACAGGTTTTCACTTCAGAAATGTTGTGACGTGTGATATAAGATTTGAAGTTTAAAGTGATCATAATCAAAAATCTTGATTAGAAAGCTCTGTGAGAGAGGCCATTTGTCTGGTAGGGCACAGTTTATTTATGAGTAAGTATTAAAATGATTACATGGTTAAATTTCATTGGACATCAAAATTAAATTTTTGGTTCTATAAGAATGACGTGTACAATGGCATTAACTCATCCCACTAAACCTTCAGGCATGTGTGTGTCCTCTCAGAATGCTGCATAACCACCAGTTTTTTTATTGCTAGTGGGGTGGGAATAAGTCCATTGTACCAGCCCCAGATGATAGGTGAGGGTGATTGTGGAGCAATTGGTGGAATGAAGATTGGCAGGGGAAACCGAAGTACTCTGAGAAAACCTGCCCCACCACCACTTTGTCCACCACAAATCCCACTTGACCAGACCCGGGCTGCCATGGTGGGAAGCCAGCGACTAACTGCTTGAGCTATGGCGCAGCCCTAACCACCACTTAGTCCATGGAGTCATGCTTGAAGATTATGTTACAAACTTAATGCCAGCTCAGACAGGGAACCTGTGAGACTTGAAGGTGGTAGGTAACTGCACAACTTCCAGGACCTTTCCAGCCTCTGGGAAGGAAACATGTAAATTTGGACTTGCTGATCATATTTCCACCAGGTACAGCTGATTACACGGCCACTTTCAAGTGAAGTCCAACAAATGGTTACATGCAAGGTTTGGTTTTTGAAGTGTTTGAAACAAGTAAGTATGAAATGACTTATCTTAAATTACAAGGGAGCTTACATACATACATAATTCATAAATTCACTGATCTGCTGTCCGAATTGGACCAGATATTGAACTCATCAAAAGCTTAGTTATAATGTGATTGTATTCTGTTAATCCTACAAAACTACGAGTATAAACAGAAAACAGATATTCCACTACCAGGTTAATAGGCAATATGAAAAGAAACATTTCACAATTTTTCAGAAGTTTAATAAAATCATAGTTTCAAAACTTATTTTCAAAAATATAATAAAATGTATCAAAGTAAAACATCAGATTTTCAGATAATTTCTGTTCCTCAGTAAGTGAACTCACAAACCCGTTAGTGCTAAAGATAGATTTTAACAGAAGTAAGAAATTATGAACAGTAACCACTTTTGAAAACAGAGTCTAAATAAGAGCACACTGTCATGGCAGGATTTGGCACTTAACTTTGTAGAAGTGATGAAGTGACAACCAAAACTACTTTCATTGACAACAGCAATTCTTTCATGACTTTTAGGTTCCTTTACTTCTCAAAGCTGTTCCTACTTTCTTCTACTTATGTAATAACTAGTAACAATTTATGTCAAATATTTAACTACTTGCACATGTATGGAGAGCTCCACCACCAAAAGAATTCCCACATTTTCAAATTCAATATATAATTAAATCTATAATTTATAATTCAATGGGAGGAAGGAATTTGGACAAGGACTGGAATAATGGGCAGTAATGGAGTATGAGAAAGGAAAAACCAACAGAAATGGGAAATCAATGAGATGATTTATGATTCATAGCCCTGTGCTTAACTAATTAAGCACTACGCCATGAAGACATATGGTGGAGTGGATGTGTAGATCCGTATTTTTTGGACCTTGGCACTAGTTGGAGGTGAGTGGTCAGCTTCACGCCCTGGGTGCTTTACCCCTGAGGAAAGAGTCCCTGGTATCCATTGTATAGGAGGGTGGGTGGACCCCAGAGCCGGTCTGGACGAGATGGAGAAATGAAAATTCTTGCCTCAGCAAACTCCAACTCCTCCATCCACCAGCCTGTAACCAGTCACTATACTGGCTGAGCTATCCTGGCTCCTATGATTCATAGCCACATCACATAAAGAAATAAAGTTCTGTATATTGGGTTTTGTTAAATGGATCAATTAAATAAATGTTTTACTGAACAGTTCTCATTTAGCCAGTGTATATTTGGTATACTGGTGGCACTGTACGAGTACTATAATACAATAATAGTAAGCATAAACTGAAACTATGCTATGTTTCTACTGTTGTTTCCAACCAGTGAAGATGGTTAATGTTCTGGATTTCTATCCTTCACCTTTACAGGATACGAATATTACGTTATGTGCATTCAAAAAATATACTAGCACAGATACATGCTGGTCCTACATACTGAGCAGGATCAATGACACTACTCAGGTCGAAGAACAAATTTAGTCACTACACGTTAAAATGGACCTTGCGTAACAAATATCCTACCACAGTACTACCAGCAACCTCTTCCAACATGGTGGCAATATTCTTCACTATAGTGTCCCACTGATATTGGATAACAGTCATGTCTTGATGATTTCAAGCATCAATAGATCATCACCTGACTACTAGAGTGTTCCATCTCTTTTGGGTGAAAATGAGATTTTTTTTTTATTCTTTGTGCTGTGTCACAACATCTCTAAATACATTTACCTTACTTTCAAGTGTGAGATTTCAGAATGTGTTTTGTTCTAATCTGCGTTTGAACTGCAAATGATTCTCTAATATCAAATGCTGTTTCCATAAACTGATGGACATTGTACACTTTAGTACTCGGATATATCTGGTGCAGTGAGCCCATACATATTACCACATCACCAAAGCCTATAAATGAGATGACAATATTCTTCACTAAAACTTCTTGTAAATACAGTAACATGTAACGCAATAGGACGGCTCTCTAGTAAGTTAAAATTTCCACTGATGATACCATCAGACAATAGAAATAAAACTGCTCTAAGTTCGATGATTCACCTATCACTCTTAGAAGAACAGCTGCAACTTCTAATCTTTCCACTCACGATCACATTTTCAATAAAATTAGAATATCGCTAAACAACAGTGCATATCTACGAAATAATATATCATGTCCCTAACAGTAACAATTAGAAGACATCACAATGAATACAATAGCTAAACTCTCTCTAGCATCCAAACCAGTTTCCTATATACACATATCTGCAACAATGTAACAATGAATAGCATTTTACCAACCAATAATGGCCTACAGAGAAATGTGTTATCTAAACTGACTAATGGGTAAAAGAGAGCGTAGAGCGTTTAAAGCTTTGCAGATAACTAGCACCAATCACCAAAATGGAATGTAGCCATTAATATCTCTAATTTGTTGCAACTTATCACATTCACTGCACTGCTCTATATCTAGATATCTAACATGCAACATGCAGATTTGAGAAGCAACAGTAGTGGCAGTATTCAGCAGATTCACTTGACCAGATGTTTCATTATTGAAATGCTTGATCCTCTGTAGCCTGTTCCAAAATGATTCCTGCAATCAAACAATTGGAACAGTCTCTTCAATTTAACAGTAAACATCATGGAAAGACATGAGAAATCATATTCAGAATAAGCGATTACTGAAACAAAATAAAAAAACAGGGTACATAGAAAAAAAAGTATTATGTTCATGTCTCACCTAGAATCCAGGATAATAAATGCAAGAGATATACAGACAAAACAAGAAACTCCATGGCCTGTAGTCCGCATGCGAACTATACTGACTGAGCGACCACCGCTTATCAGTGAAGTTAGTGCCAGTATTTGTGGATAGACGGTGTCACGTGGTCAGTGCAATGAATCCCCATGGCCGATAATCTTGGTATTCTAGACCGGAGCCGCTATTTCCTTGAAATAGCTCCTCAATTATCCTCACAAGGCTGAGTGGACCCCATTCCAGATCCACTACTCCTCAGAAAATCTGGTAGCGCCGGGAATCGAACCTGGGATCTCTGGATCTGTAGCCAGGAACGACTAGACCACAGAGGCAGTCAAGAGATATAAAACGACTGCAAATAAATCCTCTGAAATTATAAACAGTGACGAACTCATGATGACAAACAGAAAAGATAATCCATGCTACATATGCCAAATTCAGCTAACAGTGATTTGCCAGTCACATATACTAACCAATGATTTAAGTAGTGATAAAGTTGATACAGCTTGTGCCTGACTTCAAATCCTGGAGCTTTAGGAATCAGATTATGGTATGCCTGATAAAATGTACTATTGAAACCCCCAAACATTCCAGCGATGGCCAGTTCAAATTCATGGTGTCCATAAAATGAAGCTGGATCAAAAACAACTAGAAAAAAGAAAACAATATACTTAGAAGTTTATTTTCTAGCCACCATTAATGAGGTAAAAAGTTAAAGTTTTGCCTGTACTTAACTAACTACGCACCACACCATGAAGATGTATGGGGGAGTGAATGTATAGGTCCATGTATGAACCTTGGCACTAGCTTGAGGTAAGTGGTCAGTTTCACGCACCAGCTGCTTTACCCCTGGAGAAAGAGCCCCTGTATCCACTGGATAAGAGGCTCAGTGTACCCCAGAACATGTTATGGACAATGTGGAGATGAGAAAAATCTTTTCCCCCCCAGGACTCAAACTCTGACCCCTCAGTCATCCAGCCTTTAGCATGTTGCTATACTGACTGTGCTATCCCAGGCCCTACCATCACCAAGTCTGTTCCTTGATAGTCCACTACATGTTTACACCATAAAAACTTTCTAGTGTGCGTAACAGTCAATTATAAAGTGTAGATATAGCGATAGCACTATAATTATGTGTAACTCAGTGGCGTAGCATGACTACCGAAAGCAGGGAAGCAACTTTATATATGTGTATATAAATTTTTTCTATATACCCTATAGTTTCTATCTTCTATTTAAAAGAAAACAGCTAATAGTTTAATATGTATTGTATATTTAAGCTAATATATTAAAATAACACATAATTATCAACACAATTTTATAGCCATCAAATGACAGGGTTGTGAACCTGGCATATAATTAATGCTTACTTTATTGTTTATAATTCAGCTCGATTCTTCTGTTTTTCTTGGCAAACAGATCAATAACCTCCTCTAGAAAGCTGGGTTTGGACTGCAGTTTGTTTAGGAAGGACTTTTCAATGTTCATCAAAGCCAGTGATGACAACCTATCCTGGTTCTGCGAATTTCTTAAGTAGTTTTTTAATCTCTTCAGAGCTGAAAATGAGTGTTCATCTGCAGCACTTGTCGCTGGTATTGTTAA